ACAGAGGCATACAGAGGCAAGGCTTTTTGCTGCTCTTTGGGCAGCATTTCTCAGCAACATCAAACCAGTCGGCTTTGTTTGCAGTGCCGTCTTTGTAACTTTGATGCTTGCAGAAAGCAGTTCAGGTTCAAGGAAATGGTCTCAGTAATCTTTTGCTTACCAGACTTCTTGACCTCTCTGAACCTACAGCCAGGTTCCACCTGTGGCTCTGAAGTGTTACTCGTTTGCCATGGCATTCACTTCTAGGACATATGTTCATGCAAAATTACAACATCTAGGAAGCCGCAAAAAACGGAATGACTCTGGTGCACAAAAACCCAGTTGGGAAGAAAGCAACCAATCTTTTCACCTCTCAAGCATGTTTCTGGGGCACATAGCATTCCTTGCATTCCAGCAATGCTTTTGTCAAAGTGAAACTTTTTATCTTAAGCAGGCAGACTGCTTCCAACATGCCCTTTCTTGTGGAACTACTGGAAGAGGCTCTTTACAGAGCTGCTCCAGTTCGGCTGGGCTTTTCCCATGGCTCAGGACTGCTGTTGATGCAGCATCCAAGCACAGTAGCAAGGGTGAGTCTCTAAATGCAGATTCTGGAAATGTGTGTGTCACTTCCACAGCTGTAAAACTGGGGATACCTGCTATTTGAAAGGACTGTGAAAAAGTGTTTCAGAGCTAGAAGCTGTTATACTGACACAGAAAACCTGTTACAAGAAATGTTCTTCTTCATAAAATGATGTTTGCTTATTCACACAAAACTGCTGATGTTTTCTGCATCAAAGTATCATCTTTTCTAACATGTCTTTGGGAGAACGTTCAGAGTCCTGCTTAACGTGCAAACACAGCACTGCTCCAGTCCTGAATTCCTTGTATTTCCAACACTCACAACACTTAGGACAGGAAAATAAAAAAAAACCAAATCTGTCCAGCAGCTGGAACAAAAATTTAAATGCAAGGCATCTTTTTCACCACAGCCAGATATATGGCACAATTATTTCAACAATTCACACAATGATGACATAGAGGAGGTTTTACTCCATGCCAACTTTAAGACCAGGTAACTATTCTAAAATCACAAGTGTCTGCAGATACAGAGATATTTATCTTTTCCATCTTTCTATTTAAATATTAAATTCTTCTGTCACTTTCCCAGACCTGGAAAACTTCCATACAGATAAGCAAATGCTGAACTTTCATGCAGTAGAAACAGGACCCAGAGTGAGGCACGTGCCTCGCATGTCCTTTCTTGCTCTCTCAAACCAAGGTCTTGCACAGGGTATTTCACAATTACAAATGCTGGAGTGTCTGACTGCAAATCCGTGGAAGGTGTTAAGACTATTCTGGGTAGTGAGCCAAACCTAAGAAGAAGCTTCACTGAAAAAAAAAAAAAAAAGAGAAAAAAAAAAAAAGAAAAAAAGAAAAAAAAGAAGCATGCAACTGTCCCACAGAAACAAAGTATTTGGCTTTTGGAGATTAAATACCTTGTTGTGTCCCACTCTCACATCCCCACTTCTCAGCCTGTCTTCCAAAATGATGCTTTTGCATGCACATGCACAAGACTTGACAACCTTCTCATATACATTTTCCTCCTACTGCTTTTGAAGAAAAAAGAAGGAAATAATTTGTATAAAATCTCCCTCCTACCTAGAAATTACTGCCTAAAACTTAAAACTTGGTGACCTAAGGAAGCCTTCTAAAAACACCTTTTTGTTGTTTGTCATTGATTGGTTCATCAACTTTGTCCCCCCTTTTTTCTCCAGTTTCTGCTGAAAAGGCAGCAGCTGTGCTTAGCTGGAAGCAAAATATTTTACTTGGAAACTCTTCAGACTGCAAGGAGGTTGACTGATGGTATTTTGCCACTCAGAAAACGTCAGCCCATTACTACATGCAAGACACTGTAACATGCCATGATGGTCCTACACAAGTGCTAGAACCTTCCAGAGATCTTCGTATCAGTGGCAGAAAGAAAGTGTAGATCTGCTAGTTCATCTCTCATCCCTCTTACTGTAACTGGTCTAAGCAGGAAGTTAACTTCCCAGAACAAAATTAGTTAAATGGTGTCACTTAAATACCAAGGCAACACATGAACTGGCAAAGCCTCTATAATGCTGAAGTTGCAGCTGAATTGCGGGTATTAGACTGCATGTGTGTGTTTTAAGACTACTGAAGACTCATGACTGGGAATTTAAAAGCCATTGTTCCTAAAGATGCACATTTTGGATGTTTTGAAAATGTGTCTAAAAAATCAATTTTTTATTTTGACCTGCAGCTCTTCTAAGCACATTGTTACCCTTCTGCAAAATTTCTGGGTTAGGAATACGTTAGGTCTTCACAGAGATCTCAAAAATATAGTTACAGGTTTGCTGCAGGAGTTTAGGTTAGGTTTTACAGTCTACATCATATAGCAAATTATGTTCCCTTCCGGATCTAAAATCCATCAATGCATATTTTAAAAAGGAAGTCTCTGAGCGTGACTTCCACTTCAAACATACAAAAGAAATTAATAAAGTATGATTTGCTTCTTTAAAACATGCACTAGAGTTGTCTTCAGCAAGTAGCAACCACTAGCCTTGCAGCAAGATGTCACTTAGGCTTCATAACAAAGGAAGCCAGGCACTGGACAAAAAATTCAGCCCAACAATCAACAGAGAAATACTTAAGACCGTGTCTTTTGCAGGAGACAGCAACTGCAACGTGTGCAGTCAATATTTGGGGAAACAACCGATCCTCTTTAATACACAGTATCCACTCAGCACTCACACAGGTGACAATAAAGAGGCAAGAAACCTCTGAGGTCTGTGAAAAGCACCAGAAGAAAAATGTCATGGAAGAGTAAATCACGTATTTCCTGGGAATATCACTTCGTCTGCAGACAGAAAAAGTAAAAACATCTCTTCCAAGAACATGCCTAAGAAGATGCTTCTAAGAAGCCTGTTGGCTATGATGCTGCTCATGGGTTCAAATTTCTTCCAAAAACATTGGTGCCTCTTTTACCCACAAGCTCCCTGCTATGGAAAAACACTTCTTCAGAGTCTGGAAAATGCTGTTTGATCTCAGTAAATTACATCTCACTGCTTGTCGGTTTCTGATTGATGGTGTAACTTAGGGAACAATATCTGTGTGTGGAATAGTGTCTGGAGAAGCAGTCAGGGATTATTGAAAATACAGTATTTATGCAGTTTAAAAATCAGTGGAACATTACGTATAATTTTTTTCTAGAGTGATGAAAAATTGCTGAAGTGCATTTGGGAACAAAGGGTATAAGGTCTTTTGTCTGTTTTTAAAAACACTTGGCTGGTAAGACTTCTTAGTGAGTTAGTAGTGATGGATGCAAGAAAAAGTGTCAACCGCAGTTGAGCATAAAACCAACTACTTCTCCAACCAATGGGCAGAAAGGAAGACGTCACCGTTCAGTGGTGGTTAGAAAAGAGGAAATAAAATAAAGTTGAAGAAAAGAGAAGGAAAATGAACCAAGGATCACTGATTTCTCTAAGCCATTTAAAACTACTGCAGAAGGAGAAAAAGTCTAAGGTTTCATCATACCATGTATTATTTCTTCATCTATCTAACATGCCACTGTTAGTTGGAAGACTTTCAGAAACAGCCACTATGTAAGAACAGCCACCTCCTCAACAAAAATGATTCTGGAGTCAGTGAATACGAGGGCTCACTGCTGACTTACACAAGCCACATATACACTTCACCTTCCAAAACATCATTTGAATCCTTAAGGTCCTGTCATGACACAACTGAAACAGACACCAAGACTTCAGCCACAGAAGGACTATGACTGAGAACAATTATGGAACCTATCAACATATATCTTTCCACCAGACAGAAAAGGAGAAAACTAATTTCAGTGTAGAAGGAAAGAGAAGCAGATGAGGATGGATGCTGTTATCAGTGCTGTGACTCTGTGAAATAAAAAAAAAAACAAACAAAAACAACCCACTAAAACTTGGCAGGTGTGAAGTAAATGAAAAAATATACTTCCTACAGACCTTACAAAATTAAGCCAAGTCGATTGGTACAGAGAAACAAAATGTATGAAAAGCTTATTGTCCTGGCTCAGGATACCTTTGAATGCCAGAGAGTGTGAAGATTCTATACTCTGTTTCTCGTATTTCTCCAGCATCAGTTACTGACCTGATTCAGTGATGGAGAGGCAGCTCAGTGGAGTTGGATTACTCCAGCAGAGCCATGTTAACACCTGTGCTAGCACTGTCTGCTATGGGACTAAGGGAACAAGGAAGTGTGAGAAACATTGTCAAAACCACAGGGTAAATTCACCAGCGCTGAAATTACTGCGGATTACAGTAATCCTTAGGACAGTCTGAAACACAACATGGAAAGAAAGATTTATCTGCAGTAGTTTTAAATTAAGTAATATGGTATGAGTTTGAAAAAAAAACCTGGATGCAAGTCTGTAAAGGGCTTCATTATATGGTTGGGATGCAGCAGTTACCACATGTTGTTCAGAAAGGATGGCAAAGACTCAATGGGAGGCCTGTGGAAAAAATCACAGCATTTTGGAGAAGGTAATTTGGAGGTTGAAGCAAAGATGGTTATTTACTCCTGTGAGGGAGCCAGGTGCTAAGCACCAAAGACAGCATCTCGAGTACAGCTGCACAACTTAAGAGATAAGTAAGGCACCAAAGACAGCATCTCGAGTACAGCTGCACAACTTAAGAGATAAGTAAGATAGAGATATTAAGATATTAAGAATTAAGAGATAGAAGGTACAGCTGACTGAACTCCTGAACCATGAAGCTTCTGAAGTGAAGACTGCATGTCTGTACACCATTAGCCTTACTTTGCCACCACACTAAAGCCTTCCAGAAATTAGTCACTATCTCTTGCCACCACACTAAAGCCTTCCAGAAATTAGTCACTATCTCTAAAACAGCTACTTTATTATGCTTAGCTCCCTTCCCAGCAGCAACCCACACCTCCTGGGTGCAGGTCCAAGGAAAGGTGGTGTCATGTGCCCCAGTGGGTGCACTTACCTCTCGCTTTTGACTCCGAGGAGGAGGGGATGTCCTCAGAGGTCAGGATTTGGGGGAGGCACATGGGAGCACCAACCCCCTGTCCCAGGTAGGAGGCAGGTGGGTAGTAGGAGCACATGCGGTACTGGGAGCTGACGGCATGGTGTCTCTCCATGCCTTTCACCTGTCAGGAGAGAGAAATGCAACAGCAGCCTGTGAGAGCCAAGCCCCAATGTCATGGAGGCATTCCACTATCCCTCCCCCACACTCCTCCATGGCTTTGAAGGAGGTGACAGTGGATGCACAGGAAGTAAAACTCTGACATGCTGGCCTTGTGTTTTTGATTTGGTGGCTTCAGAGTCTTCCCACACTGACCAGCTACAGGTTGTGTGGTATGAGATGTGACCCAGCAGCAGCAGCAGCAGCAGCAGCAGCAGCAGCAGACCTATGGCTGTTTTATCTTACTGCAGATGGAGATGCATATGGCACACCAGCAAGAACTCTTCACTGCAAGCAGCTTCCCACCAAATCCCCAGCTTATGGCACAGACAAGCGTATACACCTGGCCAGTGTCAGAGGTGAAGTGTCCATGCAGCTCCTACACCCCCCCAAAGACTAACCCATCTCAGACTGGGGGTAACTGCTCTGCCAGGGACCTGCTGCGTGGCTAAGGAGGACAGTCCTATTGACCGACTCTCACAGGATATACTCCACGGCATTGAGCAGTGACACACGCAGAAACAAACACACTGTTTTTCTTACAACACCGTAAGATAGCAAAAACATTTTCCTGAGTTACTGAAAAAAGCAAGCTGTGTTTAGATCACACAAGAGGCTAGTTGTGGAGCCACAACTGGACACCAGCCAACAGGTCTGCTATGCCAACACGGCATCCACCAGATACCCCTTTTCCCTTCCACACATTGCAGCAAAGTGGCAACAGTCAGAAACCAAAGTTTATCCTATTCCAATGCCCTCATATCATCCAAACTGATCTCAGAGAAGTGGTAATGCTTTCTTAAATTTGTGTTTTATGAAAGAACAACCAACTACTATTACTTGTTACAAAGCCCTACAATGCAACATGGCCTCTGCTCCAAAAATGCAGTCAAACCACTTTACAAGATTAACATTTTCAACAGGAAAGATAACACTAGCTGGTTTCCCTAAGTATGCTGGGAAGTGAATGACTGAAAGATGGAAAGCTTCTGGGCAGACACAAAACATCAGAGTTTTGTACTGGTTATGGAAGTAGCAGCGCCAACAATAATGCACATCCAGCTATGCCATCACACAATGTCTGTGTAAGCAGACATGCTTGGCAGCCTTTTCAGCTACGTCCCACCATAGGTCTGCTCCCTGGTCTCCATTGTGGCTCCCTTGGGTCTCCCAGCTGTGCCTGAAGCACTGCCCCTCAGCCCTTCCCAGGCTGCAAAGCTCAGAGCCAGGGAGCAGGGAAGGCTGGGTGTGAACCAGCTGTCTCAGAAGGCTATCCCATGTCAGCTGACTTACAGGGTCTGGTCCTGGTGGTAGCAGCCATCAGCACCTCCCAGAACCACCCCAGAATGCAGTCAACCCTTTTGTTTTCCAAGGGTCCCAAGGGTAAAAAGAATCTCATATCCATTTTCATATGCTTCAAATAATGTGGCCCGAGCCACATAAAATCCTCTTGGTGCTCTCTGAGGCATGTTTGCAGTGAGATTAAGTGGAGAGAGAGAGAGAGAGAGAGAGAGAGAGAATGGTGGCTGTTCACAGGAAGCAAAGTGAACCTCTGCCTGACAGCAGCATAGTTGCATATACTTGCACATATACTGAGGGACTTGCTTTTAGCCTGTGAAAGTTAAGAGTTTTTCTACTACAAATTAAAGTGATAGTTAAAATTTTTGTTTTCTACTTCCACATGCAGAAGAAGTTAAACACACACTGAATTTTCACCCAGAATAAATAGTAAATTGCTCTTCAAAAACTTAATGAGTCATCCTGAGGAAGACTGAACTCAAAAGAACCACTGACATTGCTTCTCCTCTTCTGACGAAGGGCACTCTCCTTTCTGGAAACAAGACTCCCTCAACAAAACCTTGCTGCTGTGCAGTACAAACTGCCCAAAAGCACAGTCCAAAGTGCATTTTGAATCTGCACACCTGCAAACCTCAAGAGCCCTGGAAGTATTGGGAGAAAACAAAAGTTAGCAAACTCATCTCTGCTGTGTTGCAGTCTTCCTTGCCTTGGTGGGGCAGGGCAGCATTCACAGATCTCACAGCTCTGCTTCTCCCTTGTGCAAGACCATATGAGTATGTACAACTGAGAAAAGGTTGCTTGCAGGGGACAGCATTATTTCAGCTGTAACAAAATGGAAGGATCACTCCCTGTCACTGACTCAATCACGCACACGTTTCCCCTCCCTGTAGAGTGGATCCAGTGATCTGCCTCTTTTCAACACTTCTTTTAGGGGTTTTCTCCATTTCTTAAAAAAACAACTCACTTAAAATCCCTAGATGCAATGAATTATTACTACTATTATTATTAGTGTGTGGTAGCTGGCTAGCAAGAGACATGTTTTATAATCTTATTACCCACACCAAGTCTACGAACCACAGTTCAGCTGACAGCCAGAGGCTTGGCTCTGCAAAGAATATGCTGCATATTAACAACTGAAGAAAATCTAAAAGCTTTTGGTTTTGTTTTATTAAACAGTTTAGAATCCACACCACGGTAAATCTGAACCATAAGGTTTCCTTTTTATAGTGCTTAGCAATCCTATTTTACAGTAACAATAAAAAAACAACCAGTTGTAAAAATTCTTGACCTCACTGCTGCATTAAAAAGGGGGCTTAGGAGACCACTACCTGATGAGAAGGGGCATTTGTATGAATCTGTATTCTGTATTAACTCCTGCAGCTCCGTGGAATCCTTGCAGGTTTTGGGATTCCAAAAAGGGAGATCAAGACAGCCTTAGGGAGGCCCTGGAATACTCAGATTATTTTCAACCTGGGGCAGTTCAGCTTTCCAAATGCTACAGTCGGGTACCAGGTTTGGGATCCTGTCCTAGGTCCTGTCCAGGCAGAATGCTGGGGTAATGCAGGGACCACAAGAGAATTCCTGGCCTTCTGATGTCTCCTGCCTCCCTTGCCCTTTCCACACCTACAGCAAAGCTGAGACAGGTGTGAGCTGGGACAGTCCCACAAACCGATCTAGTTTGTATCACTGCAGGCTACATGCCGAAAGAACAAGGTGTATTTTAGGTAAGCAAGAGCTGCAGAAGGGAAAGGCATGCACTACTCCTTGCACGGGGCAATCTGAGCTCCTAAGTTGCTTCCCCTCCAGCCACCCACTGCTTGTGCCCTGCTCCAGCTGCAGGATTCACCAAGCACCTCACAGACTTTAGTGGGAGACACATATCATTGGAGCAGCAGTTGGCCTATGCAACATTTACAGGTTCTCCTAAATTGTACAATACAGCACGCACTCAGTAATGTTTTAAAAGATGTACTGCAAGCAATGGTGGGATGCTTACAATTCATGAACAAATAAATATAGCCTGATTGGAAGTGGAAGGCCATGAGTGTGCTGGAAATTCTTTCCCTGCGCCTTCAAAAGCCATTTTGAGGAACAGAGAGGCAGCAACAGTTTTCCCTCGCACAGATAAGCTGGACACAGGACTCGTTCACCACTGAGCAAAATGGTCAGTGCAGCCCTCCAGCTGTGTCCAACAGTAACAGAATACATAGCAAAATCCAGGGAAAACATGAGGAAAATTATTTTGCATCAGACCATTCCTGTAAAAAAACTTTCTCAATAGCTGGTGGAGGAGTATGTAAAGCCCAGTTCCTCTTCCCAAGTTTCTGGCAGCATCTGCACAACCTCTACATATATTCTTCATGAAGGAAGAGCTGAGGAGAGAAGGTGGCCTAACCAGAAACAGGAAGGTGTCAAAGCAGGCACCAAGTGGTGACTCACCTCTCTAACCTCAGAGATTAGAAAATGGTCCTGCCCTTCCCAGATATTTATTTAGCCAAAACATCACCTGTGTAATTATTTTATTTGCAGAAGCTGCCAGACACAATCTTGTGAGCACACCATTGTTATTTAAGCAGTACCCTCACACTTTGCAGTTGATCCTGACTATGGGGCTTGTTTCCAAGAAAGACAGGAGGAGGTCACAGATGATTCTCCTGGGTGACAAGGGCTGAAAAAAATTTCAAAGCAACAGAGGAGATCACAGTGCAATCTTTCAGCTCTGCCATTGGTGTGCCACATGATCTTGGCCAAATCACTTTACTGGGGATTTTCATCCTTTTATTTCACCTGTGACTCAGCAATAAACTTACCCTCAGTAATTATGGAAACATCAGAGAAACTTTAAAGTTTAACATAACCTCCTCCTTCTGTCTTGATCTTAACGTAATTTTAGTGGGCATAAAATTGCATTTGTGTCACTGCTTGCAAACAACAGAATTCAAAAATAGGTTGGTTTTTGGCATGGGCAAGAAGGCATCCACTGGACAATGAAGTGGAAATTCAGGCAGCAGTAATTTCCCCTCTGTGACCTGTCTGACTGTCTCAAGTTGTTTAACACTTCCCTGCCTCAGTTTCTGCAGCTCTAAACCAGGTTTGCTACAACTCTCCCAGCTTGCAATGCTACTGCCTATGTGCTGACCTCTCACAACTACTGTTGCACTCATGCTGCCCAAGGTGTTTCATTCCTAAAACCAGCTAAGCATGTTTTCCAGCACAATGAAAAAATGAGTCTATGATACCCTGCCTTGACTTACTTTGATTCTAGCACAGAAAATACAAGACACATCTATATCTGTCCCCCCTTGATAGACAAACTTAATTAACCTTTGCTATTCTGTTCCAAGCTATTCTTTTAGACAAAGGCAGTGACCCATAAACAATATGTTACCATCAGAATCTCAACTGCAGTGACACCTAGAGATATAGCCCTATCAGCAGTATTGGAAAATAAACCACTTAGATTAGCTCCTCCAAGAAATATGGATTGCATTCATGTCACACATGAGCTGTCAGAAACATTAGGATACTTTTAGCATAAATCTGTAGTGTGAAGGGTATGTTATGAATACAGTATATAATTCACTGCTTACACATAAAATTGGGACTGTCTTGGGTGACTTGCACAATGTGTATATATTTACACACACATGCACACATTTTACACTGACTTCTGGAGAGTATGGCTGCAGTTTCTGTAAGAGAGACAGGCTTTTTGGAGGAATACTGGGCCAGGAAGCAGAAGTAGGTGGCAGAAGTCAAAAAGAGCCATCTTTTTTCACTAGCAAGTGGCTATTCTTTAAACTCCTGGCTGTCCCATCACAGCCACATTCTTCTGGATTTAGTAAAAGAGTTTTTGAAAGTTTGGTACTTCTAAGAAATCCTTAAAAAGCAATTTTCTCAATCAGCAATACTAAATATTTCATTTTCAGATGGTAAATGTAAATCCCACACTAGAAAATAAGTAAAAATTTTCCCAGTTTCTCACACATATTTATTTTTGCTCTAAACTGGTGTAAGGAAAGAACAAAAAAGATGAGGTTCTGCAAGTGAAAATACTTCTTTGCCAAGCTGCATGAGAAGAGAAGAGAAGAGAAGAGAAGAGAAGAGAAGAGAAGAGAAGAGAAGAGAAGAGAAGAGAAGAGAAGAGAAGAGAAGAGAAGAGAAGAGAAGAGAAGAGAAGAGAAGAGAAGAGAAGAGAAGAGAAATGAAGTTCTGAAATGTTTTCTGAAAATTCCAAAACCTCCACACCATCCTTAACCTTTTCCCAGGAGCAGGATCTCTGGAGTTACAGGAATAACAAAGAAAAAGCAGCCACTGGTCCCCAGGTGTGGGGACACGTTCTGTATCTTGCTGATTTTTAATGGTTTAGCTGTGTGAACCAGAAGTTCTGTCATTTTTTGGGGATGATGTTAACACACAACGAGTCCAGACTAGACTTGTGCTGTGGATCACATGCCAGCAGTTTGTGAGTTTAGAAAATCAAGTCTGATTAGATTCAGATGTGTCCATTAAGGTTTTACTTTTGCTGTGACAGAAAAGGCTGCAATCACTGTGTATTCTCCTATTGCAGTGAGACCAATTTCAGAAGCACCAACTTCCAAGTACACCAACCCACTTAGCTGCAAACTGATTTTACTGTTAACTGGATGGAATGCACACAAATTCCCATTGTAATAAGTAATTACAAGAGCTTCAAGGGAGACTCCAGATGATCACATAGGGCTGGAGTGAAAGGAGAGGTACAGTAACCAACAAATCTGCTACATTTCCTACCAATCTAGGCTTGTCTCTTCCTCAGGTGCAACACCAGACATATCTGATTATCTGCCTTAGAGCTGGCAGGAGCAGCAGAATATAAATGACCAAAGGATTCTCAATCAAAACAATAATCTTCATTATGCTTATCAAATCATGATGCATACAGCTTCTGGTGTGACTGTATATAGATGAGGAAAACCTAGAAAAACATAAAATATTTGCACCTTTATGAATCCATTCAAGCATGCCAGCCTCTGCAAAGAACAAAGACTAATGAAATCTGACATTAATCTACATTAAAGATTCAGTGATTCAGTTTATTTGCCAATGCTCAATGATGCATTAATCCTCATCTCATCCCACACACACTCACATGTTTCCTCCCTGGCTATTCTCTCTCTTGCTCCCTAAATTCTGAAATAGCAGACAGCTGGGTTGCTCAAGGCCTTGTCTGCATCCAGAAGTTAGTTTACTTTAAATATGCAGCTCTCCCTGTGTGGTTCAAGTTAATCTAGGATCCACGAGCCTTTGCCGAATTGAGCCTGGAAAAGCCAGGTGTCTTGTCTACCCAGCTTAAACTAGCACACCTTCCAGTGAGCACACTGGTGACTTCTACCATCAAAGAAACCCTCCTGTGAGCTCACACCTTAGCAAGCTGCCCTAATTTGGTTACACAAGGCACTGCCCAGCTATGCTTCTGGCAAAGAAACAAAGATCAAACACTTTGATCAAAACAGTTATAGCAATACTCTTGTAGCAATAAATACAAGTCAGATAAGAAATTGTACTCCTACTGGAGTCTGGTTAAGAAATCCTGTACATGTAAAAAATAAATTCAGTCAGTACAAGCAGCCCAGCAGAAGTCCCTGTTTCTTCTGAGGAGAATAACCATGCACAGATTTGCCAGCAAAATCTCCTGAAGGTGTAAGCAAGGTCTGAATCCTCTGCAAGGATCATGCTTTGAATAAAACTCTCCTTTAATTCCCTATTGTGCTTGACAGAAAAGCTCATCCTCCATTTAACACTATTTCTGTGAACTTCCACTGCTGGTAACCCACATGAGCAGAATTATGTTTAACCATGTGCAGAAATTGAGACCTTGTTCCCCTTAAAACAAACCATCTTCAGTGCCACACAGGTTTTTACAACCTCAGCATCACTACACCCACTGCCACCAAACGTTTTCTAGCCTCTCACGAAAACTTTCTATGATTATTTGTGCAATGTTATGCTGTTGTAAGAGTATGCAAAACCTATGACTCCCAACTCTTCCAGCAGTAGCAATCCTACTTGCAGATCAGTCTAAGAAACAGCTTGTAGGTGACACAGCATTGACCTTGAACTACACCCTGCCCTACTGCAGAGGAGAAATGTGTCCTGCCTTTAGAGCATTTAGAAGCTGGGGAGACATCAATTCTTCAAGCAAAAAGCAGCACCTGTATTCTCTCTGCTCTAACATCTAACCAAAATAGCACTGAGGGATCCCATAAGGTCTGCTCCGGAGAAATTAAAATTTTAGATGTGGCAGATAATTAAATTCACATAAAGGTGAACAAAATAATGCAATATATCGCACAAGAGAGATCCACAGCTCTGAGCCTGCTGGTGGAAGTAAAACAGTCCTTTTTGACACCAACCGTGTCATTTTTTCCTTACTTCCCTCTTCAAGATCTCATGAATCTGAATGGCACTTAAGCAGAAGTACATTTCTGCAGGGCCTGAAGAGAATTATGGAAATCACACAGTTGCTTTTTATTTCTTTAAGGGTGTCAAAGGTTCCACAAGCAACAGGTGATCTCACAAGTGAGACACGGAGTCTCTAAACCAAGACTTTTAATATAAATTACAGTACGTGACAACAGAACCATAAGGACACCACATCTTCATTCCAAGGTTTAACATGTTTTAACATACTCACATAGCTCTTCCTCAAACACTATGTGCTAGGTGAAGTGTGGGACTAGCAGCCTGCAAGAACACTATTTCACAAGGCAAATATTGCCACCCTTCATTTGTGTTGTGATGGTATCTTCATGCATCAGCAATCTAAGTGCTGCAGACGTTTGACAGGTAACCCTCTATCTGAAATACTCTTCTATACCTGGCTAACCCAGTCAACCAAAACAAAAGAGTTCAAAAAGCACTAGGCACCTTACCCCATTACCATACACAAAATCCTGTAGCCTTAACTAATTTTCCCCTTGGCCTGGTGATTGAATTAATCAGCTGGAGAGGATGCCATCAATTGGAAAGGTGTACCTTCATGTATCAACACGCTGAGAAGAAAGCTCTCATGGCATGGGCTTGCACCACAGAAGGAAGACAGAGAACTCTTTATCCCATACAGCTGTACTCATGGCAGAAAAAGGGACACGGAATAGCAATAAATGCTACATTAACTGTAATCACCTAATTTCAGCTCCTCGGTATCAAAAAAACCCTGCCCTTTTGGAGCTGGTCCCTGTGCCAGAGAAACCTGGCTGGAGAAAGTCTCTGTCAGCAAACAGGATGACCTATCTGTTCACTTATACAAGGAGGTTTTGGTGGACATTTCATTGTTGAGTGGTTTCACAACACAGCCTTTGCAGAAGCTGCGTGACCTGTCTTGATGCTCTACAGAAGAGGTTTACCCTCTCCTGTCCTTACACAAGGGACACAAGCATACACAGACTCAGAGAGTACAGCCTTACCAGCTCAGTCTCACACAGAAACACCATCTCTGCAGTCCAAAACCAAACAGTCCCGGAGCCACTGAATTTTCCACTTTGCCAAGAATTCCCCACATTGCCAGATTTCTCCTTTTTCTAGTTTTTGACTGGTACTGAGTTGGAGGCTACGATTATCAAGTCCTAGAGTGCGAGGGCTTGATTTGCTTTATAGCCTAACAACGTACACAGAGCTCTGGTTTGAATCTCTCAGGTACTGCCTGTAACCAGAGCTACACAAGTCAAAATCACAAGCACTGGAGCTGCCATTGCTAGAAGAACACACGACTAGCAATATGCCACATCACATTCAGCTGACTGCAACCAAACCACTGCACATCAACATGGTCCCCTGGGACACCTCAGCAGCTCAGATGTGAACAAGGAAAAAAAAACCATGTTTCTGAAGAGCAAAGCCTCCCGGAAATTACACCTGAGGCTCTCAGGATGTTACCTTGGACAACTGCGTTAGCCTCTTTTTCTGGAAAACAATTAATGATCTACTGTCACATAATACAGAAGACAAAATCAAGCTAGTGCACCCCTTGTGCTTGTGGCAATTTATCCATACCACTATCACTGTCCCACAATGGAACTGCTTTTGTTATGCCACATTGCAGCTGACCATTTTGTCTAACGTTTTCAGAATGGGTCCTAATGCCACCCTGGAGTATGATTCTGGTTTTGCACTGCCATGAAGCCAGCAAAGAGGAGATCATACCTGCCACTGTTTTCCTGACTGGCTCGGCATGTATGTTGCTGGGAGACTTCGAAGGCTGTTCTTCATGGCCGACCCTACAATTGTACCCCCCGTCTCACTTGAGGAAGGCTCGCTGGCCACTGCCATCTGGTATTGGGAGTAATTGTACAGGTTGTTATAACAAGGATACAGGGACGGCTGGTAAAAACTGCTGTAGTAGGCGGAGTCCACAACCAGCTCAGACGTGCTCTCCAAGTGCCCTCTGCTGGGGATGGAAGGGATGTCCTGAACGAGCATCCGTCCCTCTGGAAAAGAAAAAAAAGACCATTATCTCTCATTATCTTCTAATGAGCTACAACTCCTTCCAAAGGCTGGACAGAGAGTGGTAATTAAGAAGAGGTAGGGGCTGAAAGCTGTAAATGACTGAGTCTTTGGTAGAAACTCAAGTGGACCAACAGCTACTCAGGAGCCCAAGACTGCCACCTACATATACCACAGACTGCATAACAGCAGACAAAACCAACTGCAGGTTAAGACAATGCTCTGAATCCTCAATCAGTTTCAACTGATGAGGATAGTGATTTACATCACCTAACTTTGCAGTCCCCCACTACTTTTTAACGTGTAACAGTGTGCCAAGTCTCTTGTAACTCTCTAGAAGCAGGAAGGATCTAGCTACAGAATGACTCCTCCCAGCCAGCGTCCTGAAGATGAGAGGACACTTTCTGAACATGCCTCTAGGGAGGGCAAACAACTGCAAGGCAAGAGAAGCTGCAGTGGAGAAAGTACCACAGGAACAGCCAAGGTGTCCCAGAAACCCACACACTACCTGAGAGCAGTAAGGTCCTCAATACCTGCTGAGCCTTCATAACCAAATTTAGCTCCCACACCTACAAAATCACAGAGCTGAACAAGATCCACACTGCAAGCAAAAGAGGAGGAGGAGGAGAAAGGTACTGCTTGTGATTTGCTGCATCCACTCTGGAGTGCCTCCAGAGCAGGGGTTAGCTGGCTGAACTACCCACAGGCATTGTCTGCCTCCCTGTCATTCCCTAAGATGGGGAAGCTCCTCAAACAATGAGAAGCAATGACCACTCCATGGTCAACCAGTGCCTTGCAATAACTGCAAGCACAAAAAATACAAGGTGTTTGGATGCTGCATTGCACAACCCAACCTCTCTCTCCTACTTGGCATCAGTTACACTGCCAAGCCAAACACAAGAAAAAACTATCACAATCTTATATATACATTTAAAGAGAAAAAAAATCAAACATCCAAATCCCTCCATATCTACAGCTCTGGCTCTAGTTTGCATGTCTGTGACCCTGCCTCATACCAGTTCTCTGTAAGGAGGCCCTCTTCTCCCCATCATGTTGTCCAACTGTTTTATGGAGAAGAAAACAATGTGGTTTAATGCATATGGATGAGCTCCCAAGAGCTATTGGTATGGACATGAAGCAGCATAGGCAACAGGAACATAGGAAGAAACAGCCCTAGGAGGCATTTCAGGCAGGCATAGCTTGTTCTGGATCTTTCTCTTGGTGTTTGCGTATCTTGGTTACTTACCTGTAGATGGAATATGGTAGCATACCAGCCTCTAAGTCAAGACAACATTCATGGTACTGTGTGTTAGCTGCATACTAGTTCAAATCATCAGTTTTACCAATTATAGCCATTTACAACGCAATTCTCTTTCACTTCTTCAGTTATAGTGAAAGCTTTCTGCAATCATGGATCATCTCCCTTCCAGGTTACTAAATTACACATTGCCCCCATTCATGACATCATTCTGTTGACATCAATGAATTATTTATTAGCAAAGACTGTTTTATGCTTCCTGCACCTTATTTTTCTGAACAAAGTCAGCTGGCCGTGTTTATCTGGAGTAGTTCTCAAATTTGCACATAAAACAGAAGTGCCTGCAATGCCACAGAAGACTTTTCAGAGTTTCTCCACTTTCACTTTTATAATTTTTTTAATTGTTATTATTCTACTTCTGGGCAAGACTCTTAGATCCTTTGTCCGTGTCTGATAAAATCAAAACTCAGACCACCAGCACAGCACAAGCTTGACTCCCCTCCCTAAATTTACCTCTCAAATAAAGCTGCATTCCTATTGCTCTGCTTTAAATGTTGCAAAATAGAAGCCAAAAGCAAAATCCTCCAACACATTCCTTGCTGGGATACAGATTTCACATGAGAGACATGCAAGGCAGTCACCTGCTGAACTCCTCACAAGGCTACTACATTAAGCTGCATAAATGCACGATTTCTTCTAAAATATCTGCATTGTCTTTCAATTTACAGTGCATCATTAGAATGGCTACTACTCCCCATTAAAAATACTAGCACCAGGACGATGAGATCTTTTAACACCTACATGACATGGATGGGAGGATCAAGATTACCCTCAGTCAGTTCACAGACAGCACCAAGCTGTGTGGGAGTGTTGATGTGCTGGAGGGCAGGCAGGCTCTGCAGAGGGATCTGGACAGGCTGGATCATGGGCCAAGGTCGTGCTGTGAGGTTCAACAAGGCCCAGAGCTGGGTCCTGCCCTCGGGTCACAACAGCCCCAGGCAGTGCCACAGGCTGGGGCAGAGTGGCTGGAAAGCTGCCCAGAGGAAAAGGCCCTGGGGGTGCTGGTGACAGCAGCTGAACATGAGCCAGCAGTGCCCAGGTGGCCAAGGAGGCCAATGGCATCCTGGCCTGTGCCAGCAATAGTGTGGCCAGCAGGAGCAGGGCAGGGACTGTCCGCTGTACTCAGCACTGGGGAGGCCACACCTCAAATCCTGTGTCCAGTTTCGGGCCTCTCACTCCAAGGAAGACAATGAGGTGCCGGAGCATGTCCAGGGAAGGGCAGTGGAGCAGAGGAAGGGTCTGGAACACCGATCCTATGAGGAGTGGCTGGGGGAGCTGGGGTTGGCTGGAAGAAGGCTCAGGGAGACCTTATTGCTCTCTACAACTGACTCAAAGTAGGTTGTAGTCAGGTGGGGTTTTGTAGTTGGACTCTTCTCCCAGGTATGAAATGGTAAAAATGTCAGGAGACAGCCTCAAGCTGTGCCAGTGAAGGTGAAGGTTGGACATCAGAAACAACTTTACGGAAAGAGTAGTTAAGCATTGGAATGTGCTGCCCAGGGAGGTGGTGGAATCACCATTCCTTGAGGGTTTCAAGGAATGACTAGAAGTGGCACTTAGTGCTCTGGTCAAGTGGACATGGGTGATGGGTCAAAGGCTGGACTCAACGATCTCAACAAGTCTTTTCCAATCTAAATGATTCTGTAATTCTGATTCTCTAATACACAGGAGAGATCAGTGACCCCAGGTACCAGCAGCTAAAAGGAAGAAGGGGAGAAAGTAACAGGTATGGTTGCAGCTTTTGGAAAGGTCTTATGCACTACACTTCCTAATATGCAACAAGATGGGCTAGGCTGGAATAGAAACCTACCCATAGCTATCCACCAAATCACACAAGCATTCCTGATATTCCTGATGCTTCTGTGTCATTCCAGTGGCTGTTAGTGCTACAGCTCCCTCCTGAAGAGCAGCAGTGTCAGTATTCCATTGCATTTAGAAGGAGAAAAAATAAAATGCTTTTTGATCCTTCTTTTCTCTATCTCCTATCTGTGGTTTGGGCTACCACCATTTGGCACCAGCAGTGCAAGGTCTGACTTGTCACATTTTGTCAATGAATTTTCCTTTATGTAGCTGCACAACTCCCACCAGTTCAGGGCTGTTACAAACCCACCAGAAGTGTCCTCTGCTTTCTTTTTGGCCATCACTTCATGCTCCAATAGTCTTCACACTACTATCAGCTGTTATCTCCAAAGCTGGTCTGCAGAGCTGATTCATCCAGCCACCCATATGCATAAATCCCCAAGAAGCAGCAAACTGGGATATTTTTCTCTTATAAACCCACAGTTATGAAATCCACGGTCCTTGTAACATCTCTGGCACACAACCATTCTGAGCTGCAGGGCCACACCACAGAGATGTGCTCCAGCAGATTAACAACAAAAACAGGAGCAAAGGGAAAGGGAAAAGTTCTAATGAAGGGAAAGACACATCCAGCTCCTTGAAGAACTTAGCTCTCCTGTGACAGCACAGGAAATACAGTCAGAAGAGTTCATTTTCCCTAAATCCCATGAGAGACCACACTTCTAAATGTGGAAAGACAGGAATCAACATCTGTAACTGTCTAGCTGGGGTTCCTTTGGTTGATTCTTGGCTCATACCTGTAAGGGTAGACTCCTGCCTACTGGCTGAACCTTCCTACAGCCATGCCTCCAGCAGCTCAACCAACTCAGTGTTCTCCTCAAGGGAGGCTGTGCCAAGTCAGCCTGTGACTGTTTTCTGCCAGCAAGTAGCTAACACCAAGGTTAAGAAAGCAGCTTTTAGCTGATTTCCTTCTTCCAAGTGTAATTCAACACAGCTGAATGGCTCCCCTAGCAAAGAGAGTCCTCACTTGCCTTAGAGCTTGCAGCATTACACTTGCATATCAGGGTGCAATTTTTGTTATGAATTAAGCTCTCAAGAAGGCAACCCCTGCTGCATTCTCAAGCTCCCACTCTGCACCTCCACCTGCACTTTAAAATACAAGATCTGCTGCAGGAGCTGGGCTTATGCCTTTGCTGTCCTCATGCTCTAGATGGAAAAAGAAGGAAGCGCTCCTGGGCCTTTTCCTTGCTATTGCACACAAATTTGAATATTATGGAAGTTGCAAATATGACATGATCAAAAATGGGACTGAGCCTGTTCAAGGAGGTACAGAAATTAGAATAATAGTAACAAAAAAAATAAAGCTGTTTAAATTTTCACTCAGATTTTGGAACATCCAATCTACAGTGTAAGGCCATCACAGGCCCTCCATCCATAAGCAACATTCTTGCAGCAAAGACAACAGCACCTCTTCAAGCAGCTGTGCCCTTGGATCTCTAAGTTCTTTTCTACGTCTTTACTAATTCCTGTAGACAACCGATGCTACTTTTTTTGCACTATGTACACAGTGTGAAATATGGCCCACTCTTTCATAGAAGATCAATATGATGCACAATAAATATTGGTATTGATCTTTCAGTGTTGTAGACAACCCTCCAGCTCTATGGCATATTAATAGTATTTAACCAGTAATTCATTTCAGGGTGGCTGGTATTTTCTTTTAAAGAAGGTGAATACTAGGGGTCAGTTACACATATATGTCTTTTACATTCAGTAACCTATGATGGGCTCCTGCCTTCGCTTAGCAGAGCACGGTGAAAAACACTGGTCCAGGCCTTAGGTAATGTAAACCAGTCTCAGACCATTTAC